TAAAATAATGTTATAAAAATATTTTTATATTTATATATAATTTTAAGTAAAACAACTAAAATTTATTACTTAAGAATTAAATATCTAAAGATAAAAAATAATTAATAAAATATATAAATCCTTTATTACTTCATCTATAACTTTTTGTTAATTTTTATAAATATGTTTTTAAAATATAAAATAATTTTCTTTCATCAAATCGTGAAAAGTGATATAATTTAATTTTAATAAATATATATTAAATTAAACAAATAAGATAGACAAATTTAAAATAATTTTAAGTTAGTTTATATAAAAACGTAATATATATAAATAAATCGATTTCACTGATTAAAATAAATATTTTTATTTTTTGAGATATTGAATTCAAGTAACTACATCTATAACATGTGTGCACATTATCAATAATTAAGAAATATTCTAAACATATACTACTCTTAGAGGGCTTTTGGTTTAACAAATGTAAGGTTAACTTTGGGCTTTAAGAATAACATTACTGAAATGTAACATTACTATGTGAATTTTGTATTGGATTTTTAGTAGAAATGTAAAATTGCAGTGTTTTGTTAGAGGAATATAAGATTACTTAAATGCGTATTTTACCAAATTATCTTTATAATATTAAAAAAAAATAAACTTTAATATTAAATTATAAATATTTGAATGAAAATTCATAAAAATATTTTAATCGTTATACTATCTAACTTTTGAGAAAAGAAATACATTATGTATATAATTAGTATATTAAACTTATATTTTTAAATAGTTTTTATAATTGTCATATTAATTTATATAATATCTGGTAAAGTATATAAATAGTCGCCAAACTTTTAGGGCGCTTGCATTTTGGTCACCCAATTTTTAAAACTTCAATACAATCATCAATCTTTTAGTTTGTTTTTATTTTTAATCCATGTCATTAACTCCCGTTAGTTTGTGCTGACGTGACACTTAACCTCGTTAGCTCCCCTTCTTCTTCTTGTACATCGACATTTGTTCCTATGTGTTATGCAAATGACATGAAATACATGGTAAAAAGGTAATAACTAATATCACAGTTTTTGTTTTCTTTACTAGTTGATATTATCATAAGGGGATGTTTGGTTCAGGTAATTTGAGATTACCGGGAGAATGAAATTTCATTCCCACCGTTTGGTTGGCAAACATTACCAGCCCCCGGTAATTTTTTATTACCAGCAGTGGTATTTTGGGAGTATATTATCATGAATGTGATTACCCCTTCCCTTAGGTATTGTTGGATTACCGACGTTTTAGACTAAAATGCTCTTAAATTTTTTTCTCAAAAAATATATTTATTCTGTCGTTGAATAATAAAAAATTATACGAAGGTTAAATTACAAATTTATCCTTAAACTATTTTAGATTTACAAAAAAATCTATAATTAAAATTTTATATGAAGTTCAGAGGTTAAAATAAAATTTTACCCTTTCATTAAACATATTTATATTTTTAATTTTGTAAAAAAATATATAAATTTTATGAATTTAAATTTTTAAAGAAAATATATAAATAAATTATAGTAATATTATAGTAGAATTAAACTTGTTAAAAAAATAAATATATAATAAAGACAATTTTATAAAATATACATTCAATAATCTTTTATTTCTTTAACCAAATACTGTAATCTTATATTCATGCTAAACCAACTAAACACAAAATACAACATTATCAGTAATTTTATTCCCATTGGTAATCCTATTCACATTAATAATCTTACCTTCCGTGAACCAAACGCAATTAAATAAACTGTTGGAGCACCCCGTTTTCCTTTCCTTGACCTTGTGAAGCGAAACCAACTGCTCAGAAACAAATACGTTAAAAATCATGTGAACAAAGCATGGTCTACGCCATGGGGGAGTTGATCAAGACCTGCAAAAGCTGTTTCAGGTTCAAACTTTCTAGTCCAATAAAGCCATTAGCATTAACATGTTGAGCCGATGAGAAACTGGAAGTGATGGACATCGAAAGGAGATTGAAGACTTGATTTTGCAAGAATCGGACGTATTTTTAAGCCTTTTGGAGCATGGTGCCGATGTCTATCTTCTTGTCCCATGGCATTAGCTTTTGGAGACAACGGGTCTTCTCGACGAGCTTTTACATTCGCTTCCTAGCAAGCTTACTGTTTGGGATGATTGGAGCAAGAGCATTGAAAATTTTCACGATAACTTTTGGAGAGAGCGACTCTTCACGATAATTATTGACTGTTTGGTAGGAATCTTGATTTGCATGTGGATTTTGTATTGGGATGAGCATAAACTACTCTATGTTAGATGGGATTACTGCCATGGAATTTGTTAATGGATGAGGAGAAGTTACCAGAGGTTTGCCATTAAAAACTCCTCCAATTTTAGACAGAACAACGATGAAACCTCAAAACTCACCTGTGATAGAGTTTGAACACATTGGAAGTACTCCTTGCAAGGTTTGTCTGGAGATCTCTATGTAAAGCATTAAACCTGGTTCCTGAACGATAATTAAGCTCCTCTTTGTTTTTGTTTCTGTTGTTATTAAAAGAGATTTTGCCGTTGGGTATTTGGGATTCCGTCATTGATGACATATTTGTTGTAAGAGGAAGAAACTTTAAACTCAAAACCCAAGTCCAACAAGATTATTTGAACGATGCCGTTTGTTATTTAAAAAGATAGTTATTGCCTTTGTCTCACCGACCAGTAAAGACTTGAAAAAAAGAAGAGTTAATGGAGTTGAGTTTCAACGTTAGCAAAAACTAAGGTGAGGTAACGATAGTGATCAAAATAAAAATGAATTAAAAGTTTGATAATTGTATTACAAGTTTTAAAAGTTGGGTGATCAAAATGCAAGTGTCCTAAAATGTTTAGGGACTATTTATATATTTTACCCTATAAATATAATATGAAAAATAATATTATAGTCCCGAATGGATAAATATATTATTTTTTAAGTTATAAGATCTATTTTTAATAACTTATAATTATACATATCAATAATCAGTTGGTCTAGTGTGATCAACAACAACAACAACAAAATCCTATTCCCATATGTAATGAGGTAAGGGGGAGGTAGGGTAGTAGGATGTCCCCAACGCCAAGGTTGAGAGCAACTTCCGTGGAAAACCATCAGCAGTCAGAAAATTAAAGATAGAGATAAAATGCAATGTATGTATAAATAAATAAATAAATAAATACATAGTTGAATAGTCTTCATATGCAGTCTTCATATACATGTCTGTAATGGGAAGTAATCCCTGTACTAAAATCTCTGCATATAGACAGAAACGTAAGACCCGACTAAATTTAAAAAGAGGAAACCTGAAGAGAAGGATACACAATAGTCAAGGATAGAAAGCATACGAGAAGGAATAAAGTCTAATGGGTTAAAAACCTAAACTAAGGCAACACTACTCTGCTACCCTAGTTCTAAGCCTTCATAAATTCTAATGACAGAAACGTATATAAAGTATAAGTCATGGAAATTATTACAAAGGCATTAAACAGAAGACAGAGATGTTACACCCTATGTCTGTGACCCGCACTACTCTAGTCTTAAGTCTCCATACTTTCCTATCAGAGGTCATGTCCTCGGTAATGGCTAAATCCTTCAAATCAGCTCTCAAGCAGTCTTCCCACTTCCGCCTTGGTCTTCCTCTCCTTCTGGCACCGTCGACTGTAATCGACTCTACCCTCTTGGCCGTATCCGACGGTTGTCGCCTAAGGACATGCCCAAACCACCGTAGTCTTCCCTCCCTTAATTTTTCGGATACAGACACCACCCCTAAGGACATCCTAATAGCAGAGTTTGGTGTCATGTCCCACAGAGTTTTACCACATGTCTATCGTAGCATTCTCATTTTTGCAGCCTCCATCCTCCTTATGTGATCCTTCTTGATTGCCCAACATTCTGATCCATACAACAGTGCTGGTCTTATTGCCATTCTATAAAATTTTCCCTTAAGTTTTAGAGGCACCCCCTTGTCACACAAAACTCCAGTCGCAGCCCTCCACTTTAACCATCCCGCCTTTATACGATGTGTAACGTTATCATCTACACCCCCATATGTATCATAGACCCTAGTCGATTAATAGATCGGATACCGGTGGTTATAAAAAAAAACTTAAAATTAGATATTATTTTAAATACTCAAATTTATTGATATTTTAAGAGATTAAACTCTTTTATATTATTATTATATTTATAATTTTGAGTAAAGTGCAAAAAATAAGAATTGAGAAGAATCATTCTAAAAAGAATTCATTAGTCTAGGGGTATTCTTGTCCAAAATGGTGAGAGTTGTCTAATACTGAAGAATTTGAATATAATGACATTCTCACCATTTTAACCAAATAATGCTACTATTGGAAAAAGATTATTATATTGTAAAAATATTTTCTGTGAACCAAATGTGTGAATACAATTCTGGAACATATTATTCCCCATGACATTGATATTTTCTGCGAACCAAACTCCCATTTATAATCACTCCATAATATTCAAAAAAGATAAATTATGCATTTAGTACCTAAACTATCAGTTTTGACTCATTTTAATACCTAAACTTTCAATTTTTTCAAAACCATACGTAAAATTTAGTTTTTGTTTCATTGTAGTACTCATGTTCAAAATTTAGCGTTAAGTTTTGAAAAAAATGAAAGATTATATACTAAAACAAACCAAAATTGGAAGTTTATGTACTAAACAGGTTAAGTTTTTAATGATTGGTACTAAAAGGAAACAAAAGTTAAACGTTAGGTATGATTTTAAAAAAAATGAAAGTTTTAGTACTAAAATGGATCAAAACTAATAGTTTAGGTACTAATTTTGTAGTTTACCCTAAACAAATACATGCGCTCAATTTAAATCCGACCCGATCATACCATGAGAGCGCCTTCAGCTTTTCAAGTCTACCCTTTAAACAGAAAGGAGGTTTTGGTTGCTTTCAATCGAGAACGCTGTCGTTTAAGTTTTCTACAATCGAGCGGAACCCTAAAGCATTAGTGCGTATGCCTCAAGCTTGGTCTTTCAAGTCATCGCCTTTCAAATAGGAAGTTTCCCCTTTCAGAAACTCCGTTCTCATCGGAAAATCATCATTTAGGATTTCAGGTAATATACTAATTTTCACCTTAATAAATTATTTTGTGCTTCTTTTTGTTTGCTTATCTTGCTTATTTCAATTATGCACCTGTTCTTCGATTATCAACGTTCTTATGAGAAGAAGACCAGTTAGTCTATGTTTCTTTAACCCTTTTTCTGGTTGAGTTAAGCTGATTCCATTTGTTGTTGTGTTTAGGGTTAGAATACCCTTTGCAGCATTTGTAGCCGTGAATTTCTATCTAAATTTCAATTTTTTTAATCTGCATTTTTATCAATACTTAAAGCTGACGATGGGATTTCTTTCCTCTTGCATAAAGGCAAAATGTAATCTAAAATGTGATTCCAGTTTTCTCTCTTATATCGATAAATCAGGTTATTTAATGTTGTCTCTCTCTTTCTCGCCACTGCTTATGGGCTACTCTGATTTCTTGATTTTGTTGTTTGCTGTCGGTGTGTGGTGTACTGCATATCTTAGGGCTGCGATTATTGCATCATTACAGCTACTCAATTCTTGTGTTCATTCTGAGTTAGTGAAGGTTGGCAATTTGGGAAAAACTATCATGGGCTATGCACAACTGGTTATTGGTCCTGCAGGCAGTGGAAAGGTGAGTTAGTCTATCAACTATCGCCTTCAGGGTTTTAAAATGACTATTGCTGTCTTCAGTCTGCTTAACCAATTACTTTTTGTTTGCATCATTTATTCATACTTAAGTGATTTTGTATTTTTGGAATCAGTCAACCTACTGCTCTAGCCTGTTCCAGCATTGTGAAACCCTTGGACGGTCAATACATATTGTGAACCTAGATCCAGCTGCAGAAAATTTCAACTATCCAGTAGCCATGGGTAATCAGCCTTTTGCTTGAGTTTTTCTCATTGGTTTCAACATTTTTTTCTGGTTTTATTGCAATGTTGTTTTGTTTGTTTTTCAGATATACGAGAGCTCATTAATTTGGATGATGTTATGGAGGAGCTTGGATTGGGTCCAAATGGGGGCCTTATATACTGCATGGAGTATCCTTTCTTTTATTCCTGTCTTGCTCTATATGTGGAATTTGTATTTTTCTTCACTTTGCCATTGTTTTGTTACTGGAAAAGACCTTTCTTTCTATTCTGGTTATCTGAATGCTGCTACATCACTGTATCAATATGGATTATTGCTAGTTCTTTGTGTGTTTATGTAGTTTTCTGCTAGCTAACCTTTTCCACTTGCCAATGTTTTCAGCTTTGTATTTTATCATATGAATTATGAAGAGCTGCGTTTTATTCCTTTCCTAGTTAGATTATGGGAGAAGAAATGTAAACCTTAATCTCTAAATAGACATCTTGAAGATAATCTTGATGATTGGCTGAATGAAGAATTGGACAATTACTTGGATGATGACTATCTGGTGTTTGATTGCCCAGGTATTTGTTCTTTCTTGGATGTGTATGTTAGTGATCTGGCAGTAAAATTTGGAAAAAGTAATTTTTTGTTACATTTTACCTTGGCAAAGGTTTACACTTTGCATGTTATGTTATTGAATTAGGCTGTCTGCCATAATATTTTCTCTCTTGACCACTAATAGAAATGGGATAATCTTGCTAACCTTCAGTTATTTTGTATAGGTCAAATTGAACTTTTTTCCATGTGCCTGTGCTCCGCAACTTTGTGGAGCACTTGAAGCGTAAGAACTTTAATGTGTGTGCTGTATACTTGCTTGATTCCCAGGTTTGCGAAGATCATCTTTCAAAATTTGAGTCTTCCATTCAAATTTAGTTGGCATGTCTTCATGATTGGTTATGCACATTTACCATGTCTATTTTTTGTCAGTTTGTCACAGATGTTACTAAGTACATAAGTGGATGCATGGCATCACTTTCTGCAATGGTCCAGCTTGAATTGCCTCATATTAATATCCTCTCCAAAATGGACCTCGTAACAAACAAGAGGGAGGTTGAAAAGTGAGTATTGGTATATTTCGTTCAAAGCTTCTTCAACCTGGAGTCTGTTTTACTTATTCCATATTTTTAAGCAATGTCTTATTTATAGGTACTTGGATCCAGAACCGCATCATCTACTTTCAGAGTTGAATGAGCGGATGGCTCCTCGGTTTAAAAAGCTTAACAAATCTTTGATTGAACTGGTGAGATGGTTTGTCATTCAGGATCTAATATCTACTTTTGCTTGGCTATTTGGAATTTTCTGATTTTTTAAGGAGGGGGCATTTTACCAATATATGTATATTAACTAGTAATTCAGAAGAAAGGGGTTGAATTAATTAATTAATTAATTATATAAATATTTTTGTTGACTATTGTTGTTAAAACTTGTCACATTAATGTTTCTTTGCATATCAGGTGGATGAATATAGCATGGTCAGCTTTATTCCCCTTGACTTGAGGAAGGAAAGCAGGTGCGTTGCCTCTCCCTCTTTCTCTAAATATACCGTGTCAAACACATCATTATTCGGTACTCATTCCCAAGTCGTGACATAGTAACTTATCTTGATAATTTAAGTTTTAAATGAAAAGGAATTAGAAGGATAAGATGTAACATTGCTTTCGAGAACATTTTCTCTATATATGTTTGATTTCATAAAGAACCGAGTTTTGGTATTGCTTATGCTTCAGGAACCACTTGTGACTTTCACTTTCTGGGATTAGATGATTCCGTTTGACAAATTGACTTCTTTTTTGTTTTTCACTTGATAATGGTAAACTGTTACTACTTTCACAGCATACAATATATATTGGCGCAAATTGACAACTGCATTCAATATGGTGAAGATGCTGATGTGAAGATAAGAGATTTCGATGAAAATAACGATGACGAGTAGGCCTGTTGGTGCCGTGGAAAAAGCACTATCCTTCCTGTGTAGATAACTATGAAAAACGATGGTGAAGAATGTTTTAGCACAACTGAAGTGAGAACCGATTGAAAACTGGAATTTGGAAAGACGAAGCATTGAACTATTATTTTGGTGTCATGACTGCATCAGAATCCGGATTTCTTCTGCAAGTCTTTCAATTTACGGTGCTTGAATTGTTTACGACTTGAGGAACATTGTTTCTCAACCACTGAAACCTCGTTATCAAATAAGTAAAACGGTCATGTTCGGCTAAGAAAAAACATGATTAAGCTAAAATTTTGCTCCATATATTTTGAATATACCAAAATCCCTGGGGAATCAATGCAGTTGCTCAAAAGACTTAGACATGGTGTTTCATGGGCATTGTATAATCTCCAAGGTGGAGGTCCTACTGCTACTCATATGCTAGTAATAATATACTGAGTACAATTTTAATGCACTAGTTTATAAGTTTTATACTAATATAAATAAAGTACTTTGAATACGAGCTCAATCGAACAAGATCAACTAGTAAAATTTTTATTTCGGATAGAACTCGAGCTCTGAAAATGAAATCAAAGATACTTCAAGCGTGTAGGGTAACAATCCGTCTGCAACAACATTGTTTGAGAATTAAGATTGTCATAATAAAGGTATTCTCCACTCATTGTTTCAACCTGCCAGAAAGAATAGACGATGGGATTACGTAGTTTACGGGCATCAATCTATCAAAGAGTGAATTGAAGAGAAACTCAAAACAAACCAAAAAAATATCGGCACTCGAACTAGCAAAATGAATTAAATTTACTTGGTAAACAGAAGCTTTTATCATGAATTAACAAAATCAAAAAGTCCTAAATTCTCAATGAAAGAACCAAGGACGTACCAGATCAAATTACAGTTCCTTGCAACCTTTTCAGGTGAAAATTCTTTCCAATCTATAAGGTAAAGAGTAAGTTCTTACCCAGAACATGCCTATTGGCCGCAACCCTAACTACTAGAAGCTTTCCACAGCCAAAAAGCTTGTTTTGCACCCGACCAGAAGACCACCAATAACAGAAGAAAGAAATAGAACAGAATAAAAGCATGAAAATCTGCAGTAATTCTGCCAAAATCTCACTCTTTATATTCCAAATGCATTCCACAAAATGTAACTTTTAAGAACTTAATTTTTGCAACATCTTAATATACGTACACCTAGACATGCTAAAACACAAACAAATAATATTATTAAGCGAAGCATCAAATGTAGCTAGTTAATCGATTATAAAAATAAAATCAATATAAGTTAAAGTTTATAATTCAGAAGAAATTTACGAGCACCTGAGCTGGATTTGGATTCTTCGAAGGGAACGGATTCCAGATTCGAAACCCTAGCTTCCAAAGCATCAAATTTCTGCTTCATCTGCATTTAAAAAAAATTAAATAAATAAATTAAAATCAAACAATACTAATGCAATTACCAAAAATTTCTTGGAGAGGATTCAAATTACCGAGACCCAAAAAAAATGGAAAATGTTAGTACATGAGATTTAAGGGCGTAACGTTCGGTCCATAGGTCTTTATATATGAATTGAGAGATTGAAGCCGAGGTGATCGAAAACCCCAAGGCGAACCATAGCAGCCGACTTCGAATCATTGTTCTTCGTTTTTTACCCAAACAAAACAGCCAGAATCCTGAATAGGGAGGAAGAAGATCAAAGGTTTTGTTTTCGTAACTTGTTTTAGGGCTGAATTTCGGCCCAAATTTCATTCTTGGTAATACTTTTTAAAATGCTTAAAATCTTTGACTGAATGTGAAAAAAAGAGAGTATAGGGACTTTTGAAGCATATTTCAAAACATTAGATAACATGTTTAGATGTACGAGTTAATTGTTTCACAAGTCCTTGAATTATGTTTTTTATTTTAAGTTAGTCCTTAAAAATTTAAAAGTTCTAATTTTATCTATAAATTATGATTTTCATTTTAAATTAATCCTCAAACTTTTAAACAATCCAATTTCATCCCTAAACTATGACCCTTTTAAATTGATCCCAAACTTTTGAATATTTTAATTTCATTCCAAACTATCAATATATATCTCAATTTCATTTTCATAGTTTGAGGATGAGTGATACAATTAACTATATAAATAAGACATTATAAGTTCGGAATCTTTCTTACAACAGACACCCTCAGAACACAACTGTTCAAATCTGAGTTATCTAGAGAGAATAATATTCATTTATACCACTAAAACCACTCAACGGGTTTAACTCTAGGTATAATTAGAAGTAATGTTTATCGTAATAATGCTACGTTTTTGGCGTGGTATAGGTAACAAAATTCACACTGGAGTGTGTTTCCGGAAAATGAGGTTGACTAATCGATTCTAGAACATGGAATGATGGGAAAAGGAAGCTTAAGCAACACTGTCCTTGGATCAAGTTGAATACAGAGCAGTACTTGTAAATGAAACCTCCAATGGCATGAATATGAGGTTTCTTGAATCAGGATAAATGTAAAATCGTTAATTTATTCCTCTTTTCTCTTTAATTTCACTAAAAAAAGCTCAAAGTATATATACTATGAACTTACAGTTTTTCTAGGGGAAAAACTTGAAATAAAAGTCCTTGGATTTGGATACAATGAGTATCAGATACATGTGTCCATATATGGTTACATTCAACTTTATAAGTTTTTTCACCGATTTGGAGGGTCATATTCCAACAGCAGTGTCTGAATATGTGTCAGTTTCGGATATCAAAATTCATACTTCATCACCGACGACCAATTGGTTTAGTGAAATGAGACAATAGATCCCCTAAGTAAGGTCAAAGTTCAAATCTTGGTGTTTGCGAAAGAGCAAATTGGGTTAAGAGCGTCACTCTTATAATGAGCCTCTAGAGTACTTGATCTAGATTAGTAGATTAATAGATAGAATACACGTGACTATACCAAAAAACACATACTTCACCAATTTACCTTCTCTTCAGCAGCAAGAATCACCAATTGACCAGCTTCTGCAGGCTGTTTGCTACCAGAAACAGGGGCCTCAAGGAATTGGCCACCTTTTGACGTGATCGCCTATAGATATCCCATGGAAGAAAGAAATGAGTAGAGGATTCATTCATTGACAAGTATGATAAAGTCAAATTGTAAATCATATTTGTTTCATTAGAATCCTACAGTAAGGAGCTTTAAAAGCATTTTTTCTAAAATGTCTTTGGTCTTTTATCAGAGAAAAACACTAACATAATTGACAGGTTTTCAAAAGTTAACAGTTTCTTTGCATCATCATGCAACAAAATGAACCATTTTCATAGGAAACATACATGGATTAAACTTAGACCTCAATGAATATAATACTTAAGACCAAGTTACTCGGATTTGTGGAATGTCATAAAGGTGTATGTTCAACTCTTTTGAAGCTCGGAAGGTCATTATTGAAACATTAATGAAACAAGATGAATCAAGTACTAAGGAGTATCTAATAACCTCACTGATTTTGCAAGAAGTCTCCGGATCAACCGTCGACATGTCGATGTAACCTTTACCGCTGCAAATTTGCACAAGAACACCATCTTTATCAAAGACAACCTAACCAATCACAAAAATGCATATTTTGTTGTGATGACAGTTTATTGAGACTTAACATATATGTACACACACCACACCAAGATTTGTATTTACCGAAAGAGCAGCAGCAGGATCAGACAGCATGGCAACGGTGATCTTACACTTCTTAACCACTTCTGCTGGGGTTTGTCAAACCAAGGCACCATGAGCCACCAGTTCATCACACTGCAATCACAAAGTTTCAAAGCCACAAATTTTGACTGTAACAATAAAACACAATCAACCATTTTGAAGCTCACATTTTTGTAATCAAATTCAATCACTTTTTCCATATACAAAAAAGAAAAAAAAAATCCTTGAACCCAAAACATAAAACATAAAACTAAAAACAAACACCAACCATCAATCAGATCTCAAAATGGAAACAATCTGCAACTGATTGATGATGATATTCCAAATAAAAGTAAACTAAAAATGGCTGAGAGTAATGAAAAAGTACCTTGGAAAGAGTTCTGTTCCAAACAGTAACCTTGAATCCATTCTTCAGCAAATTCATAGACATGGCTTTTCCCATTATTCCTAGTCCCAAGAACACGACCTTCATTGTCTTCTTTGTTTAGTCTCTTTTTTCACTTATGATTTCTTTTACAAGTTCATCCAACATTCTTACCTACCAGACTCCATCATCTATATACCCAAAAAATGGTAATAGAAAAAGTTTCCTCTTTTAATAGTTTATTGAAATATGTTACTCCATTATCAAGCACTAAAATGTTTAGCAAGTAAAGCAGTCGTGTAAACTGTGGTTAGTGGATGGATGGCTGAGTTCCACGTAAGCCCTTGCAAGCAGGGGTGATTGTACTCCACTATTCTCGGAATACTCGGAGGATTTGTTACTCTGTGGTATATGATCGAGGTTAACTGGAGTGGAGAACCAGTCATGTTTTACCACGCATTAGGTCAAGTCTTCAATGTCAGAGAAACAGTCAAACTTAAAAATCTCGTATTTACAACTTGAGCCGTGGTGGTGGGTCGGGTTTGAGTTCGGTTCGGATTTGGGATGGTTGTGTTTCCTTCTCACTCGCCCTTGCCCACCCGCGGATTCGAATTTCAAACGGCACTTATCAACAGCAGTAGCAGAGCTTACTTCAACAAAATCAACACCAACTTGATATCTATTCTATCAATGGCGAAGAACAACAAAGGCAGAAACTCAAAGAGACCACAGTCGATTAAACAAGAAGAAGAGATAGCGGACATGGAAGATTTGTTTAGCGAAGGAGATACCCGCAAGATAAGGGCGTCGTTGTTGGATTGGTACGACGAGAACCAGAGAGACCTCCCTTGGAGAAGAAGAGCAACAACAAAATCTGGAAATGGAAAAGACAACAAACAAGAAGAAGACGAAAAGAGAGCATATGGGGTTTGGGTTTCGGAGGTGATGCTGCAACAAACAAGGGTTCAGACTGTCATTGACTACTATAACCGTTGGATGCAAAAATGGCCCACCCTTCACCACCTTTCTCAGGCTTCTCTTGAGGTCTTCAGTGCTTTTAATTTGTTTTAATTTATGGTAATTGGGTTTTAACGAAAATGTATTTCTTTTTCTTTTCCATTTGCAGGAGGTGAATGAGATGTGGGCAGGGTTAGGATATTACAGAAGAGCTCGTTTTCTTCTGGAGGTTAGCTCAAATTTTCTTTGTTTCCATTGATGTACGGTTTCTATTGTACAAAGGAATTGCAGTTTGATGCTATCATGAAATCTTGAAGCTAATTAGTCGACGTGGCAATGCCTATGAATTCCCAGTTTAGTACTTTCAAGTATGGTTATGTCCATGATGATTGTAATGCATTTGATTTCAACTTCTGCATGATTGTATGGTTATGTCATAGGAGTGTTCATTGCTTCCTTGTTTTGTTAGGGAGCCAGGATGATTGTTGCCGGGGGAAGCAAGTTTCCGAACACCGTTTCTGCCTTGAGGAAGGTTCCAGGAATAGGAGATTATACGGCTGGAGCAATCGCTTCTATAGCATTCAAACAGGTTATCTGCTTCTGCAAGAGTTTTTGAGATAAATCGAGTGGAGTCTTTCTGATATCTGGTGTTTTAGGTGGTGCCTGTAGTCGATGGGAATGTAGTAAGGGTGCTGGCCAGACTAAAAGCTATTTCTGCGAATCCGAAAGACAAACATACTGTGAAGAACTTTTGGTGAGCTTTTACAAGCGTCTGCAACACATTTTGTTTCAATTCCTTTACAATTATTCTGTGTCTTGGAGTAGGGATAGTGAAGTTGTTTTCTCTTGTTATAGGAAGCTGGCAGCTCAACTCGTTGATCCTTCGCGACCAGGGGATTTCAACCAGTCTCTGATGGAACTAGGTGCAACTTTATGTACCCCATTGAACCCAAGCTGCACTACATGTCCTGTTTCAAGCCAATGTCGTGCATTAGGTAATTCCACAAATGACGAATCGGTTATGGTGACGGATTATCCTATGAAGGTGGTAAAGGCCAAACAAAGAAACGATTTTTCTACTGTTTGTGTTGTGGAGATATCTGATGCAAGCCAAAATAGATCACAACAAACCAAATCCAACAGCAGATTCCTTCTCGTCAAGCGGCCGGACGAGGGATTACTTGCTGGTCTTTGGGAGTTCCCTTGTGTTACATTGGATGAAGAAGCTGATTTATCCATGAGGAGAAAATTAATTGATCAACTATTGAAGAAGTCATTTAAACTTGACCCTCCAAAGAACTGTAGCATAATTTCTAGGGAACTTGTTGGGGAATTTGTCCATGTTTTCACTCACATCCGCCGTAAGATTTATGTCGAGTTCTTGGTGTTACGTCTCAAAGGTTCCAAACTCTCTTTCTCTTTCTCCCAAACATACACATACACATACACATATTTCTTATTGTTAAGTATCCTTTGTTTTTTCTCTGTTGGTATGTAGGTGGAATGCATGACTTGTTCAAAGAGGATGGCATAAAAACCATGGATTGGAAACTTTTGGACCGAGAATCGGTTTCAAGTATGGGGTTGACATCAGCTGTTAGGAAGGTATTGTAGTCATGTCTGAATCCCATGCTTGATATTCCATGTAGCTTCTAAATTTTGACATCTTTATAAAATTATAAGCTGTGCTTAGATTCATATAACAGAAAGTTCGAAAAATACGAGAATCTTTATTGCAAAACTCCATTCTGTCCAGACTCTTCTCTCATTTGTCGGATAAGTGTATGCATCCGACATCGGTATATTTATTTATTTTTCAAATTTTCTATGCATTCAGAAGGTGCTTGGAGGGTCCATCAGCATAACCAACTTTGAAAAATGAAGAATAGGAGCAATATCTATCTATCTATCTGTCTATCTGTCTGTCTGTCTATCTTAAAAAGTTTCCACTTGTCATTAATCTGCTTCAATCTTGTTGTTTCCTGATTGCAGGTACACTCCATGGTTCAAAAATTTAAACAGAATGGATCGTCCAGCAATTCCATCAGATCGAGAAAAAAACCAAAGCATACATGAACATAGTTGAGCATGGATTCAAACAACGAACCGATTCACCATGGAAAATATGGTCAACCTTTGTTCATAAGTTTGTGCAATGATATCAGCGACTGCTGCCTGGTGGTGTATTCATCATGGATTTGTTCTACCTTCATTTTTCGAGAAATATGAGCGTGGTGTATCATATCTATAATATTATCTTCCCTCTAAATGCTGCCATTTTTGGTTCAATCAGTCAGGTGTGGCAGCTTTCAGTTTTACTTAACCGACCATGGAAATTTCTGCTCAAGGAAACGATTAACATTGTCAACTTTATGCTGTTCTTGTTATTTGTTACGATTTATGTTCGGAGTTTGTATTTATTTCTTAGTAATGTTATTATTATTAAATTAAATGTCATGCAGTTTGATAGATAGTTGGGTAATTTTCCATTTCGGGGTAAATTAAGAAACGCTAAAAATAGACGATTGGTATAATTAACTACACTACGTAGATCTAACAGCAACTGACATCTCTGTAACTGTCACTCTTGTTCAAATTTCCTTTTCGTTTTGTTCCTGTTTTTACTTTCCTCACCTACGTATATAAATCCAAACTCTGTTTGCTTCTCTTCAAAATTCCTGATAAGAGAAATAAAGAAACAAACAAGCAAGGAAATTCTGCTCCGTTCTCACCCGGCATTTTCTGTGGTGCCAGAAGGATCCAAGATCCAATCAGTTTCAATTTGAAACCAACTTCTAATCTCCCAGATCTTTCTCAGGTTCTTTCCTTCAACCTTATCTTCTTCTAATCTAATCTAATCTCAATCATCATGTGAAAATGTGAGTTTTTTTGGGATGCTTTCTTGCATTTTGGTATTGGATGGATCTGCTGCCTTTAAAGTTGATGCACTGTAGTTGTTTTGTATATAGGCATCCGGATTTTCGTTATTTTAATTACATGTTTAGCTGGGACTTATTCATTTGAAATCAGTTATTCTGCATGGATTCCCTTTGATATTGAATGCTTCGGTTTTAGGTAGCTTAGATTCAAGCCGTAATCTTCAAGTTCTGCCATTATCATGGCTTTCTCACAAAGGAAGATGCCTGGAATCTGTTGGATTTTCTATAGTAATTCTGTCGTGGATTTTACCTGCCTGGGAGTTACATGCTCACGTATTCGACTAAGGATGCTATATATGCCAAAGTTAATTCCTTGACCTCCAATGAAACCGAGCTTCCTTTTAGTTATTACAGTTTCCCTTATTGCAAGCCTATGGGCGGTATTAAGAAAAGCACCGAGAATCTCGGTGAACTTCTCATGGGAGATCAGATCGATAACTCCCCTTATCGGTTTCGAATGAATGTGAATGAGTCTCTCTACCTCTGCACTACCAGCTCCTTGAACGAGCATGAGGTTAAGCTTTTGAAACAAAGGACTCGCAATCTGTATCAAGTGAATATGATTCTAGACAATTTGCCAGTTATGAGGATTGCAAAACAAATTGGGGTTAACATTCAGTGGACAGGATTCCTGATCGGGTATACACCACCGAATAGTAATGATGATTACATTATCAACATCTGAAATTCTAAGTCTTGGTTCATGAGTATGTGGGGAGTGGTGTGTAGATAATCAGAACCGGGGAAGAAGGGATGGGAGTGATTTCTGAAGCCGATATGAAGAAAGCTTCTGGTTTCGAGATTGTTGATTTCGAGGTGGTTCCATGCAGTGTTAAATACGATCCGGAAGTCATGATGAAACTCCACATGTACAACAATATCACCTCCGTGAACTGTCCCTTGGAGCTAGACAAGTCACAGATAATACGAGAACAAGAGAGGATCTCTTTTACTTATGAGGTCGAATTTGTGAAAAGCGATATCAGATGGCCGTCTCGTTGGGATGCATATTGAAGATGGAAGGTTCGTGTGTGCACTGGTTCTCGATTCTAAATTCTCTGATGGTGATCACTTTCTTAGCTGGTATTGCGTTTGTCATTTTCTTGAGGACTGAGGAGGGATTTGACGAGGTATGAGGAACAGGACAAAGAAGCTCAAGCACAAATGAACGAGGAGCTTTCGGGATGGAAGCTTGTCGTAGGCGATGTTTTCAGAGAACCAAATCATTCGAAGCTTCTATGTGTGATGACCAGAGACGGAGTTCAGATTACTGGAATGGCCCTTGTCACTATAGTTTTTGCCGCTTTGGGGTTCATGTATCCGGCTTCACGAGGAATGCTACTCACCGGGATGAGTGTTCTCTATCTTTTCTTGGGTATCGCTGCTGGGTATGTCGCCATTCGCCTCTGGAGAACCCTCAAGGGAACGGTTGAAGGATGGAAATCCCTTACCTGGTCAGTTGCATGCTTCTTTCCCGGAATTGTGTTTGTTATCCTTACAGCATTGAATTTTATTCTATGGGGCAGCAAAAGCACTAGTGCAATTCCCATTTCCCTGTATTTTGTACTACTATCCCTCTGGTTCTGCATTTCCGTGCCTCTAGCTCTCGTAGGAGGATACTTAGGGACTCGAGCAGAAGACATTCAATACCCCGTATGAACCAACCGGATTCCTCGCGAGATCCCCGCACGCAAATATCCATCATGGCTTCTCGTTCTCGGTGCCGGGACCCTTCCATTCAGAACCCTGTTCATCGAACTCTTCTTCATCCTTTTTAGCATCTGGCTCGGCAGGTTTTACTACGTGTTCCGCTTCTTGCTCATAGTTCTACTCCTACGATCATCGTTTGTGCCGAAGAAACAGTGGTCCTTACCTACATGCATCTCTGTGTCGAGGACTGGCGATGGTGGTGGAACGCTTTCTTCGCCTACGGTTCGGTTGCACTGTACGTGTTCCTATACTCCATCAACTACCTGGTATTCGACTTGCAGAGTTTGAGCGGTCCAGTGTCGGCCATTCTTTATCTTGGTTACTCCATGATCATGGCGGTTGCAGTGCTGTTGTCTACAGGCACCATTGGCTTCATAACATCATTCTGTTTTGTTCACTATCTTTTCTCGTCCGTCAAGATTGATCGATTAAAAACATCCATTTGTTTGATCTTTGGAAAGGCATCGACACGTATAAGAGGACGACGAGCTTGATTCTTCATTTTGATTTCGCTCAAGTTTTCATCACATAGAATGCTTCATTTTCTTTAATAACATACTTTGCTATCTTTTTCTTCTCCAATTCAGTGCTCTTTAACGTTATTTTTTTAAATGTTTCTACTTTTTTATTTATACTATTTTTTCAAAGAAAATATGATACTTTATTTGAGTTAGTTTTACATAATTCATAACTCCAAAATCGGTTAAAAAATTAATATATAATAGACTAAAAAATATAATAATATATCAAACAAAATTAATCAAATTTTATTAATAAAATTATAAATTAAAATAAATTAATCAAATTTAGTTAATAACTCATTATCTCTCTTTTAGATAAAATTAAGATTAGATTTAGACTTATTACTCAATTTTACTTCCGACTACTTATATTATTCACAACGTATGATGATTTATTTGAAGATGTATTTCAAAAAGAAAAAGAATATATAAAATTAAATTAGAAAAAATATCAATTAATATAATTTTAAAATATTAAAAATCAATATTTTTAAATTAAAATTAAATTATGATAATATGTATAAGTTAAAGTTCAAATTTTATTATTTAATTACACAAAATGATTAAAATTTTAAGGTAAAATGGTACCAGAGATCCATGTATTTTTAAAAAAAATAATTAATGAAATCCTCATATTATTTTTTCTTTTAATATGACCCTCCAACTTAGAAATAAGTGTAACATCCCAAAATACGGGTTATTGATTAACGTATAAAACTTCAGAGTTTGGTGATTGAAGTAGGATATTCGAATAGTTTAATGATTTGTTCAGAAATATTTCCTGAAAGTTATTAGTAATTATCAAAGGAATTAAGGGGCAAAATGGTCATTTATCATGAAAGATATTTTTTATCTCTTTATGAAGAGATAAACGTTGGGGGAGAGTATTTAGAAAACTCTTATTCTTCTTACCTTCTTCTTCTCCAACGTGCAGAGCATAAGGTAAGGGTTTTCTGATTTGTTGATTATTTGTTAAATTAAAGGTTAGGTTTGGATCATTAGATGATAACTAAGCTTAAGGAAAGCTTAAGTTGTCTTATAATCAAAAGATGGAGAAGTTATAAGAGATTTAAGAAAACGAGTTTTTATATGAAATCATGGAAAAGAGTTGATAAGTTGAATTTGAAGTTAAATTTGACTTGTCATCATGCTAATTAAGGAATATGAAGTGTTAGAATTGTATTTAGAACATATTAAAATTTGAGTATGATTCTTGAATTACATATGAAGGATAAGATTTTGAAGTTATAGATGATTTTCATGGATATAAGTTGGTTTAAGTAATGGTAGTTGAGTTTAATGACATGATAGGGGGTTTAAAATAGAAAAATTAAGTGCAGAATTGATGATTTTCGGGGTTAAAATACAATTTTTGGGTAGAGGGAACCGATACCCTATGAAGGGAATCGATTCCCCCTCTTGGACGAAAATTCCAGTATGTGCAGGGGGAACAGATTTCCCCCTGGGGGGTATCGATTCCCACTAAATGAAAAAATGGAATTTGATTCATTAAACCGGTTTAAGTTGTTAACATCAAGGTTAAGGTTTAGGCTTCTGATAGTTGTTTTGAAATGTTATATTTATGTAGATATTGAGCCTAAACAAGTTCTGGAATAATCAAAGGATTAAAATTGATTCAAATCAAAAAAGGCTAAGGTGAGTGCAATTTTAATTGTACTTATATTATTGAACGAACATTGGATTGTGATGAGTCAGTGATGGAGTTACTATGGTAAGAAGTGACTCCTAAAATGTTATTTGATTGGTGATTCTTATATGTGCATGAATACATGAAATGAGTATAGATTATTATATATGTTACATAATATGCATATGTGATATATGTTATGAGACATGACCAATGTGAAATGAGATAAGCTATGTGAGTATATGAAATGATATATGAATATGCAATACGTGATACATGTGATATGATATGAAATGACATATGAATGTGTAATACGTGATACATGTGATATGATATGAAATACATGGTTACACATACATGTGGTATGTGATAGAAGAGAAAGAACAAGTGATGAGAAATATATTCATAATAAATGCCCATAGTATATGATACGAGAGTTATAGGTATAGTTGGCATGCCAAGAGTCGAGGGTTACATATGTCCTATAAGACATATGATAGATCCTACGG